ATTTGTTATGCTCTCCATCTTGGGTTTAGCATCACAGCATGCTAGTGTAGCATTTCCTAAGCACTCAACACAAGTGCAGCTGAGGTTCATAGTTTCGCAGATACAGTATATAGTAGCATATAGTATTACATTAACTAGATGAATTAAAATGTTGACCCTGTTATGATGCATCAGGATTACCAAAATGTTTACAGTTCATGCTGAGGGTAACATGAATGTGGGTACAAAATTTCATGGTAACCCATAGAACAGCTGCCATAACATTTCACTTAAAAAAAAAAAAACCCTACGTCAACATTGAGGTGACCAGGCAAAGCCTAGTCGTAGCATAAACATCTGCACCAAATTTCATTGTAATCTTTCCAGCTGAGATCTATCATTTGTGTGGGCAACAAATGAATTGGCGTGGACATATTAATTAGTGCAATGGTGCTGAATCAGTTTGGAACATGAATTATGATTTATTCATAAGTAAATTAGAGAAATGACAAATTAGAAAAATTTATTACAAACAAAAAAAACTATTTACAGAGTTTACAGAGAATTCTACAGGTTGTTGCAGAATATTAAATCAGCTCAGCCACAACAGGCCTGAGTCAGGATTTAATATGCAGTGTGTTTAGAGTACCACAGGGAATATTACAAACACACCGCACTTCTTGAAACCATGTAACTGCATCTGGTATACAGTGTTAAACGCCACAGAGCAAAATCTAAAATGGTCTTTCAGATAAAAGCACTTCATTTGCAGAAGTTGTCACCGTGCTATCATTTTTATGTCCAAGACAGACATCAAATGGGGGCTAAAGAAAGAGCTGATTTGATCCAAAAAAAAAGTCAAGCTCCCCTCTAAGGAAAAGTGAATATTGATTTCATGATAAAACCAAAAACGTTGATTTCTGTATCCCCTCTAGGTGGACAAATCAGGCACAGGTTCTTTTACAAAAGGAGAATCTAGTAATTGCAAGGGTATGAGACATACAGTAGCTTCCTCTGAGTCTCTATCGCTCTCTATTAGTGAAAAGCAGTAACACACATGCAGCGAGAGAGAATGCCCACCATTGTACAGCCTTACTAGCCAGCACTGGCCTGACTTCAGAAACTAAAAATGAATGTACATTTCATATAAAACAGCCCTCTTTCATATATTAAAAGGTTAACTTATATCTTCTCTGCAGCAGTGGAAGTAACTTAAGCCTTGAAAATTAACGCAAACAAATCCTGTGTCCCAGCTTTTGTTGATTACTCAAAACAACAATGTAAAAGTCTGTGTTGGTGCCCCCCCTCCCCATTGGAGCATTACCAGGAAAAAGGCTATTAAAAAAAGAAAGTCAGACATTTTATCCACCCCACCAAAAAAAAACAAACAAACACACACCTCCAACCTGTGTAGCGGAAAAGAACCAAAGAAAGATTGTCAACTTAAAATGATGGAATGGCAGCACAGTGTCCAGACTTCCCAGGTGAAGAGTGAAAGCAACCTACAGTGCAAGTGCAACACATTTGTGGGAACTTCTGCAACAGTGCTGTCTATTGAACAATATTCGATTTCAGTTGTAAAAAGAATGACACGTGTTCAGCTGTTCTACTAATAACAGTAAAAATGGAGGTGTTCTGAATATTTTGACCAGTATTGTATAAGACATGAATTATTAATACAGACATTTTGAGCTAAAGGAAAAGTTAATGTGAACATACCTTGTTATTTGTGATCTTGTGGTGAAATCCAGGGACCTCATTGACCGAAGGACTTCTATACAGCCCAGATACTGCAAAGCAAGGATAATAGGCCAGTGTGAAATCAATATTCAGTAATAAATCAAAGGTTGCATTCAATTTTTGTGATGAGCACACCGTAATGTACAAAATTAAAAAAAAAACCTGATTCCCTTCCCCCCCCATTACCAATTGAAACTCAGAATGCAATCAAAACCTCAGCCCTTCACTATGCTGTATACAAAATCACAATACCAGCAATTGTTGTTCAACTTCAACGTGACACAGTTAAGGTGTAAATGAAAGATTTTAAAAAGCACCATGGCACGAACACGTCAGGTTAACATATCAGCCTGGTCTGTCAACGTTAGATTTATAAACAAGAGTTTATGACTTGCTCATGCTCATCAGAAATAACAAATACAGTTTGTATTCTAGATACACCACAAACCTATGTTACAGCTTTGAAACAACGTGAGACAGGATAGTTTTTATTTAGAAAAATGATTCATTACAAGTGCAGCAAATGGTGCCAGTACCACCTGCACTCAGTTGTCAGTTTATTAGGTACACCAAAAATAAACAGTCTGATTCAGCGGCCCTGTCTTCAGGTGTATGATCATTTTGGATGTTTTCTGCTGTTGAACTACACTGCAGAGGCCTGAGCCTAGCCTCATTGATAAAAATGGGGTGAAGAAAAAAAACACCTTTGATTAGACAAAATGTACCCCTTCCAGAGAAACTGGTCCCTTTCTGTTCATCATTATGAGGCTGCATCGCAGGATGAGTTGCATTTCAATGAGTCAGTATTTAAAAGCCAGTCTGCACCTAATTCCAAACAACCTCTTTTAATAAGTACTACAACTGATCTCATAGTGACTGCATATTAAATTCTTATCCTTTCATCCCACCCTGGCCTGCTCATGCACTTGTAAATAATAATGTAGTTGCAATAATTAGTTGTAGTTGCAAGCAGACTTAAACCTGTATTACATCAGCAAATGTGTTTCATGAACTTGCTGGTGTCATCATTTTCTAGGTTCTAGTTAAAAATAGAAAACGCCCAACAGGAGTTTGCAAAACCAAAGTCGGACACAAAGATGGCAAAAGAAATCAAGTTGATTGTTGTTTACATAAAGTCCTGTGGAAACTGCATCAGTGTGTTTCGAGACTGCAGACCTATCCTTTAAAAATCACCTTCAGTACCAGACACCTACTCACGATGCAGCAACTCCGATTAATTTTGCACAGTATGAACATGTTGTGCTGACAATTTTTATCGTTATCATAATCACATTTGTAAGCTCAGTGTAAAGAAAATGAGATATCCAAACAAACTAATGTTCTATTTTCACTATGTCTCACAAAAAAACTAACAAACAAAAAAAACAAACAAAATAACAGGTTACTAGAATCAACTTTCATGCCATTAGGTCCTTACTACTCAGTCAGCATTTCACCAGTAGCAGCAAACAAATACTCTTAAACATGGTGTTTGCAAAGTGCACGCTACACCATGACCAAAAACATAGCAACAGTTGTGGAACTGAAAAAGACCCATTTTGAGCACATTGTGACAACTAGTCACAACAGACTAGTTCGTTACAGGATTCAATGAACTGAGTATTAATATGGGATAACACAGAAAACCTGCACCAAATACAGAGGATCAGCATGGATTGTAATCTGCAGTAAATATGTTGTTTACCTTAACTAGCCAATGCTAGTTAAAGTAACTATGATCAGTTTATTTATAACGCCACTGAAACACATGCCTATAATAGTGGTGGAAAGTAATTAAGTACATTTAATCAAGTACAGTACACAAGCACAGTTTTTGTTTCTGTATTTACTTGAGTATATTCATTTTCTGTTACTTAATACTCTGACTTAACCACATTTTGGAAGCAAATATTGTACTTTTACTCCATTTATCTGATGAGTTTAGTTGTTTTTCAGAACTACATTAAGTATACAAAATACAATATAATCATTTAACTTTGATACCTAGTTGGAAATTCACAAAATAACTAGTAGTATCTCAAATAATAAGCATGAAAAGGTAGTTAAAATCCGCCTGTACCAGCTGCAGCATTAAGGTAATGTACACTATTTATAATACACTGTACATTAAAGTGCTTTTCTGCACAATGGGAACTTTAAGTATTTTGTTATGCCACTATTTTTGTACTTTTATATAAATAACATTGTGAATGCTAGACTTAGTTTTAACAGAGTATTTCTTTATACTGTGGTAGTGTTACTTTTACTTAAACAATGCAAATACTTCTTCCACCACTGCACCTGTCTGTTAAATAGGTGGGTTGTAGTGATGAAGCTATAATCAAATTACCAAATTATGCAGTTCCCCTCAGATTTATGGAGTTTTATAGCATCTTTAAGCTACCTTTTGTTTTTTCCCCATCTGCAACTTTACTGTTCTGTCTCTCACAGCCTAGTTTTTAGCAAAAGAAGTTCTAAAAAGTGTGAGTGTAAACACTGTCACCATTAATCGATGGTCCCTTTAGAGTAATGGTGCATGAAGTGTGTGGAGTGACCACGACACTAATTAAAAGCACTGTGAGCAGAACGTCACATTGAACTCAATACACATAGGACTTGAACAACGGGAAAGGCGGGGGGGCGGGGGTGGCACAGACCAGTCCCTTTCCCCCCCCCCTCACAGTGTGGATGCTTTCAGCAGCAGCATTGACTGGACAAATAAGCGCTCTTGGCCTTAATGTAGTTAATGGAATGTCATGCTGGTCAGAGATACTGTGGGCTTTGTTCAGACAAGCCGTAGTAGGTGTCGTATGATGAGAACCATACTGTGTACCTTGATTTCAAATATAACACATTTCATCTCACAATGCTGTTTAATATGTTCATTCAGGCCCCCAAGACTAAATGTTGCCTTTTGTTTAATGTGCTAAAATAGTTTGTCCCCCTCAACAGAGCCAGGACTCGGCATCATCGCTCCTCATTCTAGTGACTCATTGCCAGCTTGATGACATTCACAGCTCCATTATACGAGGTATGATGGCTGAACAACATTAACTTGAGATTTGGTGACGATAAACAAACATGCACTGAATGTCGTCTTTCCTATTCCATCACTTATCAGTGAGCTACAGCCATAGAGCTCATAGGGATGCACAATGTACAGAAATAACATCACCATGGTTACAAAAGCATAACGCTGTGGCTCCACATACACAAGACAGAAATACTGTATAAATCTAAAATGCTTATAACAAGCTGAAAATTCCATTGATATGTTTATTCACCTTAGGTTTTCCTCTTTTCCTCATTGTTGACGTCTATTTTCTGGTCACCGCTCCATGGCTCAGCCTTATGCTGTAGCCAACCAACAGACACCCACTCAAGGGCATGTTGTGGTGTTCAAATTAAACTACATTATCTCTATGAATTGAGATCATGGGTAATAAATAAATAAATAACTGAAATGAGACAGAAGAGACACTACCAACCTTCACAATGTATGTCACTCCTGGACCAGAGATCTTCTCGCTTGAGTGTAGCCATCCTCTGGAGGGTTTGCTCACCAGTCCACCACCCCCACCTAGATTCCAGTCATCTCCACCAGGCTGGAGCTCGTCCAACCTGCTCTTCTTGCTCATGTTGACAGCTGGCTCCAGCTGGGAGCAGGGGGTTGAATGGGAGGCCAAGCTGCACAGAGAGCCGCCCACACCAGAGGCTGCTGCTGCCGTCGCTGCACTGGGGCTCGGGCCACTGGAGCCGCCTGAGCCTGATCCCCCACCCCCCTGCAGCTTAGACACAGCCAGGTCCTTGACAGCCGAGGGCAGACCCTTGATGCCCAGCAAGCTGCCCGAGTTACTGAATTTCAAGTTGGACACCTTGTTGATGAGGGTACAGAGGGTGGTACCTCCATCTTCCAGGTGGTCAGAGCCGTGGCTGGTGGAGGTGCAGGAGGCAGTGGTGGTGGTGGTGGACTGGACCTCAGTCGGGGGTGTATAAGATGTCTCGGCTACAGGCTGGGGGGGGGCCGAGACCTTGGGGTTCATAGGCAGGCTGTGGAGAAGCTCATCGGAGGTTACTGACTCATTCCTGAAGCGGTTGTATTTGGTACGGTGAAGCATACCCTTCTCTCTCTTGCTCTCTCCCCTCTCTTCACCAACTGACATGCACAGCCTGCCTTTTTCACAAGTGTGCTGGCAGATGTGGCTGAGCCGTACTGATTACCCTCTCCTGTAACATGGCAGCAGCAGTAGAGGCAGCAAACACCTTTTAGCAATCACAGGCCACCTGACTAATTTTCTTTACTGAGGTTACAGTGCTGGTTGTGCTGAGTTGCTGCTGCTGTTGTCGCCAAAGTCCAGTCTGTCCTCAGTAAAACCCTGAAGTGCAATTCAATCCGTTAGAGAAAAATATACAGCCCCAATCCATGGAAGCACAAAACTGAAGCAGAGGAAGAAGAGGATGAAGCAAAAGGTCTCAAAAAGGCTGCCAGTGTTGTGATGTAGCCGGTTTGGTTTCCAGTGGCGATGATACTGATTTCAAGCCCCCAAAATCCAAAAAGTAAGAGAACAGAATTAGGTCTATATTGTCGATGATCACGGATACTGCGAGGGAAAAGCAAATACTCTGACTGCTGCCTGCCTGCCGGCTCTGAGCTAAAGCATGACTCACTGATCTGAGAAAACCTTCTCAACAAAAGGCTTGCTGAACACTGCAAATCACTTCCTGTTGGAGGGAGAAAAGAAAAAAACTCCCACTTACAGCACACTAGAACTAATCAATTTTTAAATTCCCCAGTCTGATATTTATTCTCTGCAATTCTTAATTATCCTCTTATTTGTTTTTCAGTGAAAAAGAAATAAGGAATCGGAGGTAGCCTGATTATTTAACTTGGTAAAAAAAAAAAAAAAAAAAAATAGAAAAAACACAAAAGAAAATAAATCAAGTAAAATGCATGAAAGACCAGCATCCATTTAATTGACAGCTACAATCATAGTGCCCACCATAAAATGCACATTCTTTGATCTAATGATAAAATTTCTATTTAAATGTGCACTGTCATAAAGATGCAATTCACCTCACAATAAAAGGTGAAAGAAATCTAATAAATCCTCAAAACAAACATTTTAGCTCGACTAGAAATATGTAACATCATGAATATAGTGTCCATGTTAGTTTATAATAGCTGCAGAATAAGGATAAACTCGCTCTTGGTTCTCAGGTTTGCACTTTCAAAAACCTATGATTAGATCATATACTTGTTGTTTCTGTGTAAAATCTATATAATTAGCTATTAATGCAAAAATAATATTAACATAATTTGCCTAAGGTACAGCACTGATGCACTATCAGCACTGTGCAACAAAGGAATTTTAAAAAATGAATAAAAATCTGTTCCACAACAAGGAAGAGGATAAAGATTCACAGCTCGTCTAAAATACCTATGAATTAAATACATGAGTACATAAACTAAAGAAATAGAGCAAGAACAGCATGTTTCTCAGGCAAATGAATCTATGAAACAACCAAAATGATAACAGAAAAAGCCCAAGCATCCCCTTAAAACCAGCAGCAATGAAGCATCTTTGTCTCCCTGGTAGTGGAAAGCACACCACCAGACACCATTCATGTAAAATGTCCTCAGCAGCATCTAGCAAAGCCGAAAGACTGACATTCATTCATAATCAGCTTCCGCTCTCACTCTGCTGCAGATTTCGCACTGCAGTCCCTCCCAACATCTCTCTTTCCTGCCTGGCAAACAGAAAAAGAAAAAAAAAAAAGCACGTCTGCCTTCTCTCTTCAAAAACAATGGCAAACACTAAAGCAAGGAAGAAAAGGCAGGCTCTCACAAATCAAGAGGAGGCAAAAAGACAAAGAACAAAAAGAGAAAAGGAGAAAAAAAGCATGCAGTATTTAGTCTTTTACAGTATGTGAATGAAATAGCAGGCTGGCATACCAATATTTCTGTGAATGGAAGCAAGGCCTTTCTGCCTCTGCAAGGCAATCCCTAGGGATGGCATGGTCTTATCCAATGAGGAGCCAGCTGGATGACTCATTCAGGGGAGGCTTGCAGAATAGTGGAAGAGACCATTTCAAATGCAGGTGTACATTTTGTTTTCTCTTATCTGCCCTTCAAAAATGTTACACACATCATCAGATATAAGGTGTTTGCTTAATTTATTAAGCTTGTGTTTAGTTAGCACAATAAGGAGAATGAAAAACATCCAGGACAGTAAATAGAAATAAAAGTGTCACCCCTGTAATTTTGATTGTCACCATTATCAGGTTTTTCCCCCCCACATTCATGTGAACATTTACCACCCACACATATAATTATTTACCATTTCATGCATACATATAAAAGAACAAATGTAGATATGGTTAGACACATAACTATGCTTTGAAAACCAATTAGTGTCCTGGTTTTGATGTTACCACTAATATTGTAATGTTTCATATAATTTTAATTACAAGTGCGAATCATAACGTTCCAGTTGTTACCCTTTGTAAATACATGATCCTCAAAGACACAATGGTATTTTATCTACTTCTGGTGTATTTTATATTACCTTACTATTAGACTACACTTAATGAAACATGCATTTGCAGCTGTTTGGCATGAGGATTAAAGCCCCTCACCATCTTCCAATGTTATACAATTGGTTAATTGTTACTTTTCTGATAAACTTAAGCAATCTGAAATAAAAACAATGCAACACAATTAGCTGTTATCTATGAAAGCTGAGTCTGTATAGTATGGAAGCTTAGAGATACCAAAAGAAAAACTCTAATTTCCCTTGGCCAGTTTTTTTTTTATTTTGAGAGTTCATCACTATTGCTAAAAATAACACTGAAATAATTTTTATTGTACCTGCCACATAAACCCATATACTCCTACCACATTTATGACAAAATATAATGCAGCATGGACTTAGTATTTAATTTATTTACTACTGGAAACTTAAGCAAAATGCATTTTTTTCCCCCCATTTGAATTTTCAGCTCATTTAAAATAACATTTTATTAGAATAATAGTAACACTTTTGAGGCTTTTGTAGTAACTACTCGTTATATTCTGACTTTGAATGATGAGTAACTGATCTTTAACTCCATACATAATTTTAGCCAAATTTCTAAATTTCAGTCTTTAACAAACAGCGGGTGTGATTCACTACAAGTTTTTTACTTTTTTACAAATTCTTATGGCTAATTTTTCATGCAAGGTTATTCAAAGTGCATATACTCACAAACAAAATGCTTTCCCTGCACTGTATCGGGAAGTAAGAAATGTCTGCCTATTACCCCAGAGAGACAGCTGAACTGGGCCACGTAGCCTCTCTTGCTGTGTAGCCATGGGGACAAAAGGTGCAAAATTCATTGTAGTGCTCGGTATGTGGGTGTCCAGAGGGCACAGATCCTGAGGCACTGAAGGCCCACCCACCACTTCTCTGCCACTGTAGGGAGAAACACAAAAGTTGAAAAGAAAGGGTAGGAATATCTGTTCCTACTGGAATGGAGGAGGAGGATGATGATGGCTGGGCACTGGGGGCA